GGTGTCGTCGGCAAACTTGCTGACGATATGTTCAGTATCAACAACAATTTCCCCTTTCCTATTTCCCACACATGCTGTGCTCCAAATAAGCTAGTAGATAGCAATGTTTCATACCATATGCCTTCACTATTTCCAGTTTCTGGATCTTCTGCTAGGTATCTCCCAATAATTGCCCCAATTTCCTCACATTCTTTAACGTCCATGCGAAAGAAACAGGGTCGAAACACCGGCCCCTCATCCACATCCATGACATTCACTTTAACAGAGGCGGTGCTCTGGGAAACTTGTTGTGAATGTGGTGCCAGAGAGTAGGGTGCCTCGTTGTTGACTGTAATCACAAGGATCCTTTGCTTGCCGCTTTCATAGTCCAGTCCCTATAACAAAGGTGGGGTGTTGGTTTTTTTCCTTCAGACTAACACAAAACTTGGTATTGTATTCACTGCCCAAACACTAAATAAAAAACTGTACCACATTTATTCACAAAAGAATTCGGCCATCATTTTTGAACATCCAGTTTGAGACACAGTAAAGAGACATGATAAAAAAAAGAAGTTAGTTTTAAGTTAGTCAAAGAAAAGAACCTGAGAAGCTACCCCCAATAAGGTAAGCAGTACCACTGTAAAATTTTAAATGAGTACTCATAGTCACGTACTAATAGAACTGAGATAAGAATTAAATTGGGGGGGGTGGGGCGGGTGGAATTTTCTCCTCCATATCTAGTTGGCCACTGTTTTAGGTTACATGTGCTTCCTTTTCAGTACAAGTCAATAACACTTCTTGCTAGCACCTAGATTTATTTTCTAGTAAGACTTCACCCATTGCAAATACATCTGAACTTGTGGGGTTGAACAGTATCTACCATTTATTCTTCAGACACCTTCTCCAAGGTCGTAATATGCCTTTAATATTGCTATTTACATTCTTAAGTCATAATACTCTCTCGTCTACTACAGTATTACATTAAGTAACGTGAAATAAGGAATTTCAGCTGGGTTAGTATACTAGGGACATAGTTTTAGAAAAATCTCTAATGATTACCAGCAACAAAGAAGATAATAAATAAAAGCCACAAATTTAACTGGCATCTCTACCTTTACGTTTTACACTTCCAAATTTTAATATTAGTGTTCTCTGCTCATTGGAAGTTACCTGTTGTTGCAGTTTTAACAGATAATGAAAGAGAGGCATGAACAGGCAGAGCGACATGCTGGAGTACAGGTACAATGGTCCTTCTAGCTCACATCACAGTGAAGTACTGTATATAACAAGTAACTAAACTAACACATAGTACTATGTGTATGCAAACCCCCTTGCATGCAGAAAAACAAACCTGAAGACACTACCCTGAAAAATAAAACTCAGAGTTTTATGCTGAGTTAGTAAGTTTAATCAACTCTCAGAAAGAACAAGATTGGAGTAGATGCTCATCTTTGCCTTCCTTTGCCACATTCCCATTTCTGTTAAAAACCCAGACATGAAGCATTCCTCTGTTACATCCCTAAGTCTAAGTAACTCCAACTTTGGAACCAAGCAAAAGCCCTAAGGTCTTCTGAAACGACAAAACAAAGGGAATTCCTTGAATCCTGTGCACACAAAACTGGAGTACTCTGGAAGGTGAGATTTGTAGGTTAAATATCACACATGATCCTCAGATCCAGAAGAAAGCATGATTTAACTGATAGTTACAGATATTCTTTGAATAAAATCAATAGCATACAACTCATTTTTAAAAGCAACATCTGAAGACACACAACTTTTCCTCTAACAGTTCCACTTTTACTTACCTTAACAACACACAGTATTCCTTCATTTGTGTTTTTGTCTGTTGTAATTTCAAAGGACTGATCATCATTTCCTCTTATAATTTCATACACTGCTCTAGACCCAGGTGAATCAGGTTCATCAAGATCAACAACAGACACACGCAGTATTTCTACATGTTCTCTGTTTTCCTCCACTTGTGTTTCATACTTGGAATATTAAAAAAAAAAAAAGAGAATACTGTTCCATAAAGCAGGACTGAAGAACACTGAATTTAAATAAGACTACTTAAGCCCAATGAGTCAGTTTACGAAGCTGCTGCAATGATTTATGTTGTTTTCAGACATCATCATGTTTCACTCACTCCTCCTTTATATCCAAGTGCAACAATAAGCTTTTACTGCCAGCACAGTTGAAGCCCCAGCTCCCTCACACACTCAAACTATCACTAAGCCTGTAATTATCCTTCCAGAAAAGGTAGATTAGCACAGTTCCCTTCAGCTACATAGCTATTAGCTATAGATGCTAATTTGCATACAACAATATCAAAGTGAACATTAGAAAAGTAATTGGGTCAAATAAAAAAACCCAAACACACAACACAAGAACTTGATAAAAAGCCAAGAAGGGTGAAATACATCTCTACATGAATGGCAAAGGATGAAAGGATTTTTCTCATTTTTTTTAATCTTTAAGAGCTGTTATTCTGTACAAGCTCAAGAAGCACAGGTAAGAGTGATTCTGAATTAATATTACTGATGATATTCTACAGCAGTGAGTGGAAAGGATAAGGTACGTGTATTCCTCATGGATAGTGAATTATTTTTCATAAATTTTGTAATACAAAATCTCCTGTGGTATTGGAGCTGAACACATTGTTGAGACATACTCTCTGTCCTGAATAATTCAGATGGCTGCAATAAGCCAATAACTAATGCTGAGCTATAGCAATCGGTGAATATGAAGTGGTTTAAACAATACTTCTATAGAAGAAAACAAAAATTGGAAGACCATAGAAAAAAGTTGGTAAAAATCCTTGCACCAACTTCACTGACACTAATATTTTCATTTGCAGCACAGAAGCAGCCAAAAACTGGTCAAATGGTAAAAAGGTTATAGAGTCATCAAATCTTAGACAAGACCTTTCAGATAATCAAGTTCAACTGTTAACCTCATACTGCTAATACCACCACTAAAACATGTCCCTAAGCACCTCCTCCACTTAAATACTTCCAGGGACAGTGACTCAATCATTTCCCTGGGCAGCCTGTTCCAACACCAGATAACCCTTTTAGTGAAAAAAATTTTCCGAATATCAAATCTTAAACCTGCCCTGGCACAACTTGAGGTCATTTCTTCTTGTGCTATCACTTGTCAATTGGGAGAATAAACCAGCACTCAACTCTGCAGCCTCCCTCCAGGTAGTTGTACAGAGTAATAAGGTCTCCCCTCACTCTCTTCTTCTCCATCCCAGCTTCCTCAGACACTTCTCACAGGACTTGTGCTCCAGACCCTTCCCCAGCTCTGCTGCCCTTCTCTGGACACACTCCAGCACCTCAATGTCTTTCTTGTAGCGAGGTGCCCAAAACTGAACTCAGGATTTGAGGTGCAGCCTCACCAGTGCCCGGTACAGGGGAACAATCCCTTCTAGTCCTGCTGGCCACACTGTTCCTGATGCAGGCCAGGATGCCATTGGCATTCTTGGCCACCTGGACACGCTGCTGGCTCACATTCACCCAGCTGTCAGCCAAAACCCCCAGGTCCTTTTCCACTGGGCAGCTTTCCAGCCACTCGTCCCCAAGCCTGTAGTGTCACAGGACGTTACTGTGACCCAAGTGCAGGACCCAGCACTTGGCCTTGTTGAACCTCACACAGCTGACCTCAGACCATTGTTCCAGCTTGTCCAGATCCCTCTGTAGAGCTGCCTTACCATCAAGAAGATCAACACTCCTGCCCAACTCAGTGTCATCTACAAACTTACTGAGGGTGCACCTGATCCCCTCATCCACGTCACTGATAAAGATAATTGAACAGAACTGGCCCCAGTACTGAGCCTTGGAGAAAATCACTTATGACCAGCCACCAACTGGATAATGCTGGTCATGATAATGCTTAGGAATTAATCTGTTCCCTCTCCGAAAATGCTTAGATTATGGGATTTCTAAGACTATGTGTTGCAGCAGAAGAGAATGAATGGGTTATGTCAGCTTTCTCCCAATGGACGTAAGGCAAATGATTCAAAATTATAATCACAGAATCACCTAGATAGGGGCATGATTTAGTGCAGGACTTGTCAGTGTTAGGTTAATGATTGGACTAGATGATCCTATGGGTTTTTTCCTAAGCACTAGACCTACACAACTTCTCAAAACCTCTAGAGATGTGGACTCCACCATTGCCCTGAGCAACACGTTCCAATGCCTAATGACCCTTTCATTATAGAAATTCTTCCTAATAGTTAATCTAAACTTCCTTTGGCACAACCTGAAAACATTTCCTTTTGTTCTATCACTTGTTACTTGGTTGAACAGGCCGGCTCCCACCTCTCTACAACCTCCCAGTAGGCCTAATAACTAACCAGCACAACAACCAACAAGGCATTCTCAAATGTCTATATTGGCACTAAGTGCCTTAGGATATTAGGCTTCATTTTTGAGAGACTGCCCACCAGGAAATTAGAAAGGGGATAAAAATAGTCCTTTATTTTTTTACCATTTTACAGACATTTCATTTATGAAGACTTACTTGTGTCTGTTTAAAGTATGGTGCGTTGTCATTTACATCCCTAAGGGCAACCATAACTTCTGCTGTAGAGCACAAACCAAACCGATGACCATTCAGGTCTCTTGCTTCAATTTGAATTAGATAATCGGGTTTATTCTGAAAAGATGAATAAAAGCATACAGAAGTTTAACATACTCATTTTTTTAATCACAGAGTTACACACAAGGAGTAGAACTAAATATTTTACTCTTGTTCCCCAAATCTGCTCTAAATTCAGTGGTCCCCTACAAAATGAGGCAATTAGATTTGGGGCTTTTTCCCTATATTACCAACAGGGAAACAAGTAAAATATTTTTCAGTGGCTAATCAACGCTGAATTCTGCATCTGTTAGTAATGTGTACGCTATATCCTGTAGCAAATAAACCTTCTGACAATGTCAGCATTATTTTCCAATTACCTGAGGTTTTGAAAGATACAAATGATGCACTTTCACCTGCTATGTCTCCCCTTTGGAATGGCAGAATGGTCCCTTAGATTTCCAGCTGTTAAATTGTTTCAGTGCATGTCTCTTATTTCAGTGAAGATGACCAGAATGGTGCTGCAATCAGCCTTTGTTTGGGCTATACCTAACAAGGTGATGCCTGCCATTTGGCACAGTTCTGGCACAGAAGATGTCAGTGCCCTTATCAGTTCCAGGGGGATCACTGATAAGCAGCCCACTAAAATCCTGACTTGAGCCACAACAGCAGAAGGATTTATTTTTTTTTTTAGCCTTTATACCTGAACAACCCAGAGAAGGGGAACTGGACACAAAATGAGGGAGTTTGAAAATCAAGACAGTAACTCCAGTTCCAAATGCCTGGAAGTAGCACTAGGTTTCTCAGGTTTATCTTTAGAAGATAGGCAGTGGAGTAATTTTTCAAGCTCTCCTTCCCTCAGTAGACACTGTGATTGTTTCGTTAGAAGCCATGGTGATGCTCACCATCGCTGCATTTGCCTCTTGCTAAAAAAGTTGAACAGTGGACCTGTAAGTGCCCAATTTTGCAGCACACGGCTAACATGGATTTTCAGTCATAAAGCAACATAAGTATGCCAGAATATGACTCTTTATCCTCAAAAAAGATGTGCCTGTAACAGGGCTTTTTTTCTAGAATGGTTGTCTTATGCTAGAAATATTATTTTGAATTACACATGCCTGTCAGTTTTTCTAGCATAAACAACCTCTCACATGAGATTTTATCCAACTCCCAAACCCTCAAATAAAATAAAAATTAAGACCTTCTGTATCTTGTTTACTTGAAAGTAAGGTGATAAGAATAAATGGTTTGAGCATTAATTTTAAGAAATATTATATTGCTGTTTAGGCTTCAGATACTGGAGATATTTCTGTTGAGTATAGGATGACTCAGAAAAGTTGGTTCATCTTCCCTGTAATGAAGCAAGCAGCACCTCAGACAGAGCTTGATTAGGTAGGAACAGTGGCTTATGAGGTTAATGAGCAGTGAAAGGATAAAAATCCATAGGATTTTCAGTCCATAGGCTGAATAGGACTGTAGCGGGAGGTCCCCTGCCAAAATTAGTTAGAATATAGTAGATCTACGCAGAAACTCTTTGGACCGATTACAGGTCTCTGGAAAGATTTGGAAGCTCCATAGAGAGGGAAACAAAAAAAAGGGTAACAGAAATTGTTTAACTGGCAACTCCCGTGCCAGCAATTCAGAGTTGCACTAGATTCAGAGTTCCACACTAATTCTGTGTGCACTAGATGACAGCTAAAGGTGCTTCAGGCAAGTTCACCTCTCTGTCCAAGTGCGGTGTTGCTACTGTTATGACACCTGTATCAGGATGTATATTAAATAATTGTCTTGCTGCACTTCCTAAAATGCTGTATTTCAACTTAGTATGCAGAGTATGAGGCTCGTCTTTGTCCTCTGCAATCACTTGCCCAACACGTTCACCTGTGAATACAATACAGCAGATTTTAGTTCCAGAAAAATCTGTAAATAAGTTATATGAACAGATATTTGTATTTTAGATACATTAAAACACCTATTTCATCACTTAGGTCTAAATGAAGATAACATTAAAACACAGTAAATAGTAGTAAAAATACAGTAATAGTGTAAAATGGTCTATTTTAATCCTCTAGGTATTTTTTCCTTTCTTAGACAAAGTTGTCAATATCACAGCTCTCAGAAATAATAGTCAAAAGAAATACTACAACTTTAAATTTCAGTTAGCTTTTTTGACAATGACTTGTAACTAAGCAGCCCAAACACAGCTAAAAAGGAGTTGCCGGGGAGATGGAAGAGGAGGTTCGGTTCTTTCTGACATGGTTCAAACTGCAGTACTGCCTCTCAGGGAGCACTGATGTACTTCATCCCTATGCTGTACCATCCCAAGTGGTTTTGGATCTTCACTTTGAATCAGTAACTTGCCCAATAAGAAGTAGAGCAGCTCAGAGAAAGAAATGCAACTGGTGTTTTGGGGTGAACAGGAAGACACTTCACTTCCTTTTTTTGTGAAGCAAATTAGACTTTCTCCACACTACAGCCCTAGCCTAGGAGATGAGCGAGGAATGGCAAACCACAGCTTTTGCATTACCTATTCTCTGGGGTCTACCTTTCTCCCTGTTTTTGTCCTCTGTTACAAGCACACATTAAGTCAGTAATGTGCAAGTCCCTTCCTTTTATAAAATAAGAGCAGAAGCAAGACTTTCCCCTCTCTCCCTGTCCCAGGAAGAATCTTACCTTAGCTCATCAGCTCAGACAAATAGTGTCAAATGCCTTTGAATAAGCTTACACCTTCAAACACCACAGATTTAGTTGTTTAAGAAACTAATATGTTAAAAACTGTTGTTCTGCCAATCAAAACATTTCATGGACATAGGTGATTCAGGATAACATGAAACGAATAATGTTCTGAAGTTCTTAGACCATTTTAGGAACATTTAATCATCTCAGTTTTTAAAAAATTCTTTTTTAAATAATACTTTTCACCATAATTGACATGGCATTTTGGAATTTCTAGTCATTAAGGATTCTTGAGTTGCTCTTTTCTTTACAGCAAATGTTGAATTTGAAATACTCTTTAGGAAATCCTACTGAAATTGATTAAATGACAAGATTACATCCAGTCATACCAGAACATAACTGAGCTGAGTAGTGTTCACTGATTTAAAACAATTCTTACCAGATTTGCAATTTTCAAGAACAAAAAATTTGTAAGAACTTTGAGAAAACTCTGGAGCATTATCATTATCATCCTCTATCTTGATTGTATGCACAAGTGGTACCTCTGGTGAATAACCATCTGCAGTGGTTGCAAAGCAAATAATCTGTAAGACAAATTCAGTAATTCACCTAAGGCTTAAGCAACAGAAAAAAAAAAAAAAATTACACTCTCAGTTCAACAGAGGAGTCAATAAAATGAACTACAGCATACCAAGCATATCCTTCTCAAGACCAGGCTCTTCAGTCACGCGGAAGGGGAAGTGATTGATATCTCAAAATGACAGCAACACAAAACCTTTAAATGCTTTCCAGTCTTTCTCTTTTCCATTATTCCCACTACAAGTATTTGAATCACTTTTGGTTTCCCTTTCCCCAGCTCTGTCAAACACTTTTTCCATGTCTCTTAAAAACATGCTTTCCCAGGTGTCTGAGGCAATCTCAGTCTTACCAAAAATTTAGATGTAAATATTGCTATATGGAACAAAATTAAGAACATCAGCAAAACTATTTGCCCATTACAACATAATCTAATAAATGCAGTAATAGGTAGTGCAAATAACCTCACTATTTAGAAGTGTTTCTACTGTTCTTATTACACTTCTCAGCCAGTAGAGAGAGCAGTGCACCTTGTTAACAAAATACCAAAACTGAAGAGCTCGAGTAAAAGATGTTCAAAAAGACCACAGCTGTCTAGAGTTTTTCACTATCTTGGTTTTATGTAGACATTTCCAAACTTCCCTGAAGAACCCTGGGATAACTTCAAAACCTTCCCAGAAGTGACACAAATCCAATAGCTCACTACATTTGTGCTGTGATTAGAATCTAAGCAGTGAAAAACAAAACTACTCTCAAGATCTAGATGACTAGCTGTTTCTTTATTTGTCACCGATTTCATCTCTACAACACCAAAGACATTAGTCAGAACAAATCGCTGATTCCCGACCTTGTCTGCTCCCTGTTTCCCCCACAGGTCAGATTCAAATATATGTATGACAGAAGAAAGAGATTCAATTGTATTTGCACAATTTAGGCCTGTACCTGAAAGCTTGGATATTGTTCACGGTCTACTGCACGAGTAGCAAAGATATTTCCAGTTTCTCTCTCTATGTAAAACAAACCCTTTGGATCTTGATCAATTCCTGGTCCACTTGCAGAATAATAAATGGTGTAGTTCTGAGCTGTGTCTGACTGGATCTGTAAAATAAATGGTTTTAAGCCCAAGGAAAAACAGTAGCATCATTCTAATACATTTTCACCTTTTCCATTATCATATTTAGCACAAGAAGGAACTCTTCAAAAGAAGAAAGCCAAAACTTGATTTACTTCAACTCCTTCAGTAGTTTAAAATTCATAGAATAGTAGACCAGCTTGCCATGTAACTGCCTTCCTTTATAATGTGTGTACACAGGAAGGGGTATTTCATTCAACCTCAGAAATGTTTAGGACTATCAAACAATTAAAGAAATTACAGTATGCATAAAAAACACCTTGAAATATAATTGCTCTAGAATACTGCATATACAAGGCACATTCAGATACAGATGGCTTATTATTTTCTGTCCTTGTTAAAGAGATCTTGGTTTTAGTGCACTCTGAGAACGTGGTTTGCAGGGAGGGAAGACCACTTGGAATATAGTCCAGAGCTACATCAATTCAGACAGCCTCTCTGCATCTCATTACAAGCACCCAGGAGGTAACATTAGCAGTTATCTACTTAGAAACACTCTCCTCCCCAAATACCTTCCTAACTTTTGTGAGTAAAGTAAGATTAGGAGAATGATTGCTCTACACAGACACTGTTATTACACTTGTCTCTGCACATCTGCTACCAACCACTCCATAATCTAGTGCAGCCTAGATGGATGTATGATAATTTTAGTACTTGCATTTCCCTTTCATGCCTACTTGTTTTCTTACAGTAAGTAGTTTTCCTAATAATATGGGCCATAATCAGTCTTCAGTGCTACAGGTATACACCTTGAGCTCCAGAAAGGATGTAGACATACAGGTAAGACTTCCCCCACTCTGTGTCTACAAAACGTTTTTTAGGCAATGTTTTGAGGGGGGTTGTTCGGTGGTAGTGGTCACCGTGGGTGGGTGTTTTTTTGTTTGTTTTGGTTTTTTGTTTTGTTTTTAATTACACACTTCACTGATTTCCAGGTCAAAGAGCTCTCTTCTGATAGTATGCCTCTCTCATTTTTACAACTTTTGCACATTTCCAGTTCACCTCAACAACCATGATCACGAGTTATTGCAGTGACAAAATCACAAGATACACCATGAACAGGATAGAACAAGACAGGAATAATAGCAG